AAACAAAAAAAAATGGGCATAGAAATGAGGGCCCACAACCCTCCATTTCTCCGTTAAAGCACCGCCCCCCCACCCCCCCAAAATAAAATCTCTGTTGTGTGAAATCCCAAGAAATTTTACTGTTGGGCCTGGGATTTAACTCAGTGGTTCCAGTGCCTGCCTCGCAAGCACAAGGTCCCAAGTTCAATCCCCGTACCAAAAAAAAAAGCAGGAAGAAAAAAGAATCTTTACTGTTGACAATTTAATAAGAACTTTTAAAAACATAGTTGGGGCAGACAAAATACTGTTATCAGCCAAGGCCGGCTCCAGCACAAACTGCAACTCCATTTTCTGAGTGTGAGGGCCTTTGCACAACATTTTGGAGAGCACAGAACAAACCAGGCACCAGCCTGCTCCTGCGGGCTCAAGGACCTTATCCCGTAAACAAAGAAGGGCTGGGAGCAGAGCCTGACACAGGGAGCTGCAGGTGGAGGCAGCCTGGCGCCGGACTCTAGGATAAGTAGGAACGCTTCCTGGAAATAAAGAGGTGGTAAAATCATTCAGGGAACAGCTTTGAACTTCAGGGAAGGACGGGTGTTTCTGTGGAGCCTGAGTGCACCTGGGGCACAGAGGGCTCAGAAGGGAGATTGGGACTCTTCTCTGCCCCCAGATCACAGAGAGCCATGTGTGTCTGCAGTCACCTGGACAGTGCCTCACAGTTCTGGGCATCAGCCCTCAAGACCAACAGTGTGGGGAATAGGAAGGTGGGTATGTCCTGAAGGTACAAGGCAGAACCCTGGGCTTGGACCACCTCTGCCATCCATAGCACTGGATTCATTCACTCAGGATACAGGTCCCAGCAAGCAATGGTTGATTATGAACCAGAGGCTGGGGCTTCAGAGAGAAATAATCAGGAGATTCCCCTGCTTCTAGGGAGATCACTCTTTGGTGCTATCACTAGAGGGAATTTGGACAACTGCTCTATGCTGCTTAACATAGAAGAAAGAGGACTCTGGGTGTCTTAGTAACTTTTCTTGTTGCTGAGACAAAATACTCAACACCCAAGTTAAAGAAGGAAAAGTCCCCCACCACCACCACCAGGGATCAAACTCAGGACCTTGTACTTACAAGGCATGTGCTGCTGAGCTAAATCCCCAGCCCAAAGTTCATTTTGACTCACAGCTTGTAGGGGTTTTAGTTTATAGTTGGTTGGCTCCAAGGCAGGGTGGCATGGCAGAGGGGCATCACAGAGAATGGCAAACAGAAGATAGCAAAAGCAACAAGCAACAAGCTACAACATTAGCCCTCTTTCTGTCCTTTATACTCTATCCAGGCTTCCCGCCCTAAGGGTGGGTAGCACTCACACCAGGGAAGGGCACCCTTCATTCTACCCAGAACTATGCCAAACCAATCAGTGGACTAATTTAGTAATCATCCACCCTTAATCCCAGCATCACACACTCTAGGTCCAGCCACCTGAGGAAAGTCCCACTTATGACTACATGAGGTTTTGGAGAGACTCTAGATACAAGCTATAACACTGGGAATAGGGGATTGTAGAGGAAGGGACTTTTGAACTGTGTTGCCAGATTGGACAGGAGTTTCCCTGGGAGGTACAGCAGTGCTACCCACTGCTACTCACTGCTGGTCCCCAGCAGCCTGATGAAAAGAAAGCACTGAGAACCTCACGGGACTTTGTCCTCAACCTCCAACCAGCTGCGGTGGCCTCAAAGGTTATCTCCCAGGTCAGGTGATCTGTCGGTCAGTCTGTCTGGGGCAGGAGAAGTGCGAAGGTGCCATTCGCCACCTGGGAAAAGGACGAAGGAGGCAGACCCTGGACTAACTCATGTGCTTTAAAAATGAGAAGGATGACAGCCTCTGTCCTGAAGAAGCTCCAGAGCTCTGGGTTCTACTGCAAAGAGTTCGGAGATGGATGAGTTCAGAGATGGATGGGCTTTCCCAAACAGTCCAGTCCCTCTTGCTGGTCATGGAGAAATCCCAGGCCCTCCCCAGGCTCTGGGCCAATACACATCACAAGTGAGCTCTGTCTGCTGCAGCCGACCCTGGGAAACATAAGACTTGGAGAGCTTGAAAAAAAATCTCAGTCGATGGCAATTTGCCCCCTTCTTTTATGAGAAAGCACCAGAGGCCAAAAGCATAGGGTTGGCTGGCATGCAGATAGGCCCTTCATGTACTGGCTGTTTCTTCTGGTGTATTTGTGACTCTGAGGAAGTTATTTTACTCCTTCTGAGCTTCCCTTTGCTTGGCTCTAAAGTGAGGGTGAGAATAAATTCAGGGCAATAATAAGCAGAATGCCTGATGCAGCCACCTCCAATATAAGCTACTGTTATTATCTTTGTGTGTGTGTGAGGGGGTGGTATGGGGATTGCACCCAGGGCCTTCACACTGAGCTACGCCTGTCAGTCTTTTTTATTTTCTTTTTTCAGATTTTGAGATTGTTAAGTTGTCGAGGCTGAGCTCAAGCTAGGGAGTCTCTTGTCTCAGCTTTTGTTGTTTTTGTTTTTGTTTTTGTTACCGGGGATCGAACTTGGGACCTTGCGCTTGCGAGGCAGGCCACGGAACCACTGAGCTAAATCCCTGGCCCTCTTGTCTCAGCTTTTAAGAGTGTCCTTATCATTTATTTTGACTTAATTACTGAGCACCTACTATGTGCCACATAGTGAAAGGGATGCAGTGTGCAAAAAGCTCTTTATGTTTATTTTTTTTTCTTTATGTTTAATTTTAAGAAGCCTCTAAAAAAAAGAAGGCTCTAGACCATGGAAAGTAGATATATTATCTTTTTCATTCCTTTCTCCATCTTGGTAAATAAGGCCGCCCTGTGCTGATCATTTGTGTTTATACAGGAACTGCTTGGATTCTAGGACATGTGGCAGTTTGGGATCTCTGGGTTCTAGAATTTATTCTTGTCTCCTCATTGGCACCTCCCTGTATCACCATTCTTGGTGCCCAAGCACAGGGCAAAGGCTCCCACAGCACTGACCATGGTCCATCACGGCCACTTGTTGGGGGTGCCCACTGCCTCTGGGGAGGGGGCTGATGCAAGGGGCTGGTGCTGACAACCAATGGCCATGAGCACCCCAGGGCTAGGGCAGTGGAAACCACAGAGCACCAATAACAATACCACTATATATAAGCCTTTATAATTATATCAGCTTTTAGAGCTTGCAAAGCATTTTTTGCATTCATTTAATCTGTATGGAAAGAGATATCTCCAGCTAGGTTTTACACAGGAGGAAAATAAATTCAGAGAGGCAGATTTCAAACTGCAATTAGAATTCTACCTAGCCCACCTAGGTTCCCAGTCTTTTGAAAAGCATCACTGGGGTGCATGCTAAATATGTAGATAGATTACCACGCCCTCTCTCAAAATTCTAATTCTTTTTTTTGCGGGTACCAGGTATCGAGCTCAGGACCTTCCTTGCACTTGCAAGGCAGGCCCAATGCAACTGAGCTAAATTCCCAGCCCTTCAAAATTCTAATTCTGAAACTCTGGCTAAGACTCAGGAATCAATAGTTTAAAAAACGTCCCGGAAGATGCTTATCCTCTGGCAAGTCTGGACACCGCGCCATGCACTGATTAAGGGGCTTAACTTGGATTTGGGTCCTGACCATGCTGAACTGTGAGAGGGCAGGATGAACAAGACAGTCCCAGCTTTAAGGAGCTAACATGTATGCAGCTGGACCAGGGCCCACGGAGACCTGCAACCCAGGTCTCCTGGGCAAGGCCCCTTCCTGCTGGGTCAGACTCCCCCTTCCAGAGGACACAGGTTCGGGCCTCCTTCTACTTTCTACCACCTGCTCAGGTGTGAGCTGGTGGTGTTCTAGCTGGAGGGATCCTGTGAAAGAGCAGAGGAATGTAAAGCACTTAGCATTGTGCCCTGCCTGTAGTAACTGTTTAGTAAATGTTAGCCAGCTGCTAATGGGTTAGTCAAGGCCAGAAAAAGAGGAGGGGGTGGGGAGCAGTGGAAAAGAAAGCCCTTCAGCTTTGGAAAACAGAGGGGGCCAGACTTTGGGGCAGGAATTTACATTTCTTTAAAGCTAATTCCAGCCCTGACCTTCCTTAGGGAGGGAGCCAAGGTGAAGATCACTCGGGTGCTGATAAGGAGAGCCGGGCCTAGGAGAAGGCTGGGAGAAGTTCTGAGCTGAATCTGTGTGTCCCGTGGCTCTGCCCCCACAGGCAGGGATCGCAGGATGTGGCCACTGGGGTGAAGCACTGGGGGTGCAGGTCGGGGGGGGGAGGGGACAGCCGGCTGCTCCCAGTATCAACACCCCCCACCCCCTGTCTCCCAACCCTTCTGGGGTCGGCTACACCCCAGGCTCCAGCTTTTGCTGCTCACTCCCTTGTCAGATGGAGAAGTCCTTCTGGGTCCCTCCCTCCCTACTTCCCCTGGACGCACTTCCATTTGTGAAGCTGGCACTTGTCCGCGTGGGCCTTCCTGTGGAGCTCACCTTTGTTCCCGTGAGTACCCAGGACCCTGTAGTTTTCCCGAGGCTGGCCCTCCAGACAGACTGTGTCTGAGAAGGCCAGGGATGTTCCCGGAGTACACTGCGGGCAGTGGCTACACCCAAGGCGTCCGGGCCGTAGCCTGCCTGAGAGCAGAGGCTCTCCCCAAAGCCCTGCCTGCCTCTCGATAAGCCCCGCATCCATTTGGAGGGGACCGGGCAGGGGTCCAGGTGAGGTAGAGTAGGGAAGCCACACTGCCAAACACAGAGCAGCCTACTGGGTCCCAGCAACAGGGCCTCTCCTGCCTAGAGGAGCAGGGTGCCAGGGCGCCCAGTCCCGAAACCCAGGCTCCTTAGACCCGTCCCTGCATCTGAGCGCTCTTACAGCGGGCAGACCTCCTTCCCGTCGAGGCCTTCCCGTCAGATCTAGCGCTCCCATACAGGGCGGCCCCACTCAGGGCCACCCCCCCCCCCAAACTCCAGGGTGGGGTGGTCATAGGTTCTTGGAGCTTCCCGGGGGGCGGGGCGGCGGCCCAGAATATAAGGGGCGGAGACGCCGCTCTCGGTCTACTTAGCCCACCATGCGCGCCCACCGCCTCTCGGTCCTCCTCCTGCAGGCAGGGTGCGCTCTGCTCCAGGCGGGGGCCGCCACGGTGGCCCCCGTACCCCTAAGGGCGCAAGGGCAGCCCTCGTCGCCGTCCCCTCTGGCGTACATGCTGAGCCTCTACCGCGACCCGCTGCCCGGGGCCGACATCATCCGCAGCCTGCAGGCGCAAGGTAGGCTGCGCCCCCCTCGCGGCACCCCAGGGCCCCTCCGCCGCCGCCCGCCCTCTGACTGCGGAAGTTCGCTGGCTGCGGCTCGGTGCCCCGGGGACGCCACGGTTTTGGGCTCCCAGGACCCGGGCGCGTCCAGGGTCTGGCTCCCCGGGTGTCTACGCGTGGGCCCGCGTGGGGCCGGGCGCAGAGTGGGAGGGGATCCCAACCCACGGCACGACCCCGACGGGGATCCCCGGCTTCCGGGTCCTGGAGTGGGGAGAGGAGCGTGGGCCCAATCGCACTGGGGGCTTCCTCCCGCGGACTCAGTTGCGTACGTGGGCAACGCGTTCGCGCACCTGGAGAACAAGCATAACGGCACCTCCCTTGTAAGAAGACCGGAGAGGCCCGCGTGACAACGCTCATCAGATGCCAGCACAAAAACCCGTAGAGTACTGACTAAAAGTCGTCATTGCTGTAATTATCCTGCCTTGTTGAATTGCACCATCAGGGATTAGGGCCCACAGATCCAAGCTGAGGGATGGGGATGTCCGAGGTCCAGAACTGAGGATGCCTTGGGTCCTCGAGCTTGGACCGGGGAAGTGTCAAGTGTCGGGGTGACTGAGTTCGGGCCCTGATGTGGACAGGGTGTGTCGGGGACCAACATGACCCGAGAGCGTGGCTCCCGGGGACCAGACGGCGCGCTCTGGCACCGAGCGCAGCGGACAGGTGGTGTGGGACAGCTCTGCCCAGCCCTGGCCCAGCACCCTCTTTCCGGGCGCAATCCACATCCCGCCACCTGGGCAGCCGCTGCGGCCCGCGCCTCCCTCGGCCTGCGGGGGTCAGACGGCCTCCCCGGGGCCGGCGCAATCCACATCGGCTGATCTGAGCTGACCCGCCGCCTGCTGCCCCGCGTGGCCTGGGGGCGGGACTCCTAGCTTTCCGGCCGGCCTGGGGTGAGATGGTCGCTGACCCTCTCGGAAGGGTCATCTGGGGACCTCCAGACGGGACATCCTGGAAGTCTGGGCTTTGGGAAATGTGCTAGCGTGTCCCGCCTCTCGGCCGGAGACTAGAGTGCAGAACTGCAGACAGAACACGGCGCTGCGGGTGGTGGGGCGCGGGGCAAGGTGAGGGCACACCTTTCCAGTTCGCTTCCTTCGGGAAAGTTCTTGAAGGTTTGTGGGGTGATCCGAGGGACCGAGGAATCTGGAAAACTGGGTTCTGGTTCCTCAACCCTGCGCCTGGATTCCTTGTATCACTGACACATTTCACTTGGGGTTTTTCTTTTATAAATGAGGAGACTGCTGTCTTTGGGCTTCTGTGTGTGTGAATATGCATAGCAATGTTTACCATTCTGGCTATCTTTAAGTGTTGTTGTGAATAACTCCATTTTGTGAGAGCAGCCGGAGGGGCCTGCTGGGAGGGAGGCTGAGGAGGAGGTGGTCTGAGCCCTTTCCTCTAAGGTGGACCTCTGAGCTGTGCAGGGAGACCTTGACCTAGAAATTGATCCAACCACGTTGGGTTTGCTTCTGTTGGCTACTGTTGAACTTTCACCTTGGACTTTCCGTTTCCTCATCTGCAAATTGTGATACCACTGGGGAGAGTTAAAGGAGGCAGGGCTTGTAAAATACTTGGCACGTGAGAAGCAGCTAATGGTATTTTTTATTGACACTTTTTTATGGAGTTCTTCACCTCCCTGGTTGAGGGGAGGGGAGCCCAATGTCCAGAGACCCAGCTTCTTTTGACTTTGGAATTGGAGGAGGGTTAAGGTATCCCTGGGCCCTGTGTGGCCAAGTCCAAATTCATTACATGGGTTGGCTTCAGGGTTTCCACAAACCCCCTCTTCATGCCCACCAAAGTCATACCTGTTACATTAGTTGGGTAGATGTGTTTTTCCCTCGTAGTTGATGTCAGTGACTGCTGCAACAGTAGGAACCCTATGCTAACTAAGGTGAACTAGAGCCAAATCTGGGAGACCCTGTCCGGGTTGTGCCACAGGAAGCCCTTGCACACCGTCTGTTCACAGATAACCGTGTGCTCCTGTCCAGGGCTCTCACTGCCTGCACAGACACCTTCATGATAACTCTTGGACTAGGGAATAATGGAGAGACTGAAGATAGCCAACATGTAATCAGCTTTGGTGGTTGTGTCAGTTAATCATGGTACCCCTGTGAGGTGTACAGTGTTGCCATCTGCCTCCTTTTACAAGGAGGGAAACTGAGGCTTAGAAAAGGAAAATAACTTGATCAATGTCAAACAGCACCTGGCAGGCTTTGAACCATCTTGGAGAGACTGGTATTAACTACTAATCAGAAGGACCTTCCTCTGAGCTGTAATCCCAGCACTCTGAGAGGTTGAGGCAGGAGGATCACAAGTTCAAGCCCACCCTGGGAATTTAGTGACTTAGCAAGAACCTGACTCAGAACAAAAAATGGGCTGGGATGTAGCTCAGTATAAAGGCTATGGGTTCAAGCCTAGTATTTAAAAAAAAAAAAAAAAAAGTGTCTTCCTCTAGAAGGCCATTTGCATGTACTTGAGATGAAATTTTTGGTACCAGGGATCGGGCTCAGGTCCTTGCGCTTTCGCAGTAGGCGGCAAAACCACTGAGCTAAATCCCCGGCCCAAGATGAAATATTTTTAAATCCCAGCCTGCTGGTACAGGTGGCCAGGGGTTGCCACAGTGTCCCACCTAACCCCCAAATGATCAAGTTGTGCAGCAGGGGAAATGATGGGAATGCAGCTATAGGGGTCCTCCTCACACCCCTGGGGAGAGCTGCTAGCCAGGGGCGGGTTATTGTCCCCTGCAGGTGCTAATGAAGAGGGAAGTGGAAATTAAGTGAAGAAGGACAGCTGGAGATGGGTGGAGAGTAGCAGCCTGGAGGCTGAGGCTGGGAACTTACCCTTTATAATACTGGCTGATTTCCCAGAGAAATTCACTCTCAGATTGACTTATGAACAGGTTAGAGCCCCCCCCCTTCTAATAAAAAACCACTGATTTTTATTTAGCAATAAACGTTCAAACATCTTTATGTCCCTGGATCCCTGTGATAATGCAGAGATGGGCAGTGCATTATTATTCCCATTGCAGAGAAGAGGAAATAGTTTGATAAAATTTAAAAATTAGTTTGGCATGTGGTACATACGTGTAACTCCAGCACTCTGGGAGGTTAAGGCAGGAGAATCACAATTTTACGCTTGGCTTTGATGCTTTCCAAGATGGACATTTCAGGGGTGTCTGGGGCTCCATTTTCCTTACCTCTAAAATGGGCTCATAACATTATTGACTGCTTGGCTGAGGTGAGGATGAGAAATGGTTGACACAAAGTACGGGCTGCAACATGAGCTGGGGTGGTTGATGCGTGATCAAGTGGGGGAGCTGCTCTCAGCCAGCTTTCTTCCTGGTTTTGTCCCCCCAGACGTGGAGGTGGATGGGCAGAACTGGACCTTTGCTTTTGACTTCTCCTTCCTGAGCCAGCAAGAGGATCTAGTGTGGGCTGAGCTCCGGCTGCAGCTGGCCAGTCCCATGGACCTTCCCGCCGAGGGCCTGCTCACCATTCAGATTTTCCACCAGCTCAAGCTGGACTCAGAGCAGCACCCAGCCACCTGCCCAGAGCGTCTTGGGATGGAGCTGTTCACCATCACACCATCCCAGGTCACCTTTTCCTCGGGCAGCATGGTCCTGGAGGTGACCAGGCCGCTCTCCAAATGGCTGAAGGACCCTGGGGCACTGGAGGAGCAGATGTCCAGTGTGGCCAGAGAGTGCTGGCAGCGTTCCCCCGGCCTGCCTGTCACGGTCACTGTCACCGATGTGCTCCTGTTGCTCTACTCCAACCTGTCCAGGGAGCAGCGGCGGCTGGGTGGTGCCACTTTGCTGTGGGAAGCTGAGAGCTCCTGGAGGGCCCAGGAGGGACAGCTGTCCCAGGAGAGGGCCAGGAGGCACCGTCGGCATCACTTGCCAGACAGAAGCCGGCTGTGTCGCAAGGTCAAGTTCCAGGTCGACTTCAACCTGATTGGATGGGGCTCCTGGATCATCTACCCCAAGCAGTACAATGCCTATCGCTGCGAGGGGGAGTGTCCCAACCCTGTGGGCGAGGAGTTCCACCCCACCAACCACGCATACATCCAGGTGGGACACCAAGGCCTGGGGCGGGGTGGGGGCTGTAAGCCACAGGACCTACAATGTGCCACATCCCGTGTGAGGTCCCCGGAGGACGTGGAGATGACTTGTCACAGTGTCTTAATAGAGGCTTGTGGAGTCCTGCTCTGTGGGGAGGCCTTGAACACATTGCTTCCCTGGGACGTGTCTTTTTTTTTTTTTTTTGAGACAGGGTCTTGCTATGTATTCCAGGCTGGCCTTGACCTCACCATGTAGCCTAGGCTGGTCTCAAACTCATGATTGTCCTGCCTCAGCCTTCCCCAGGGCTTGTGAGTAGAATAGAGGGTCTCAGCTCCTCTCTGGTCCTGACTTTCTAGGAAAGGAAGCTCAGAATCTGGACTTTAGGATGGACAGGCCTGGGTTTGACTCCTATGTATTAGCTGCGTGATATTAAGTTGCTTATTCTCATGAGCTTCGGTTTTCTTGCCTGTAAAATGAAAAGGTGCTGTCATATTTCCTAAGGATGCTGTAGGGCCCATGAGATGGTACACATGCAGCCTATGTAGTAGGGGGCAGGTAGCAGGCATGTTTCATGTTGTTTTTCCATTACTTGAAATCTGTGATTTGAGGATGTGAAATGGGGGGGGGGGTGTGTTTATCATGGCCATGACTGCAATAATACTGTTCTAGCCACTGTGCTTTCTCTGCCTGAACTTGTAGCCAATGACCTGTTTCACAGGAGATAACCAGGCCAGAGGCTGCCGCCAGGTGCCACTGAACAGCCCAAGGCAGTGACGGTGAACCTTTTAGATCTTTCAATGATATCAAATAGCTCGATGCAGCATGTGTGCCATAGGTTCCTCACCACTGCTCTAGGAGGTGGTGGAGGAAGAGGAACAGGACTGATGAGCTAGGAAAGGTAATAATTGGAACGAACTTAGAGCCTAACGTGGTGGTCTTGATCTTAGAGGCTTGCCTTGCTCTAAGAGCTCATATAGGACAAAAGTCTCTTTGTTCTACTCCATGAAGCCTGGAGCAAGATCTCTGGGACCTGCAGTCCTCCCTCTGTGCCAAACCACCAGCAGGGCCTGGGGTCTGGGGAGCATGAGCAAGGGAGCCATTGCGGGCCAGAGCCCCAGAGGACCTGTTCCTGCACTCACATGGGCAGCCCTCACAAGGGAATCCTCAGACCCAGAGTCTGGTCACTGACCTGGCCCTCTGACCTGCTCGACTGCAGGGGGGCTAGTTCCCTAATGCCAAGGGGCACTACCTTTCTTCTTGTTCGCTGTGCCCTTTGCTGGCCAACAAGGCACATCCCAAGAGCATTTCCACATGACTCTTCTGCTACGTATTTCTAGTACTAAGCCAAGAGTTTCTTGGGATCTTTTAAAACTGGTATTCACTCTACACTAGAACAACAGGGCAGACATATACAGTTAGCTACTGTTCTCCCCAGAACTTGGGAGTACACTACCGCTGACCTATATATACCAGACCTTTTATTTTTTGAGACAGGATCTCAGTTGCCTAGGCTGTCCTTGAGCTTTTGTTCTCCTACCTTAGTTTCCTGGGTAGCTGAGATTACAGGTGTGGGTCACCCGATCCTATGACTTCCTTTTAGGGTACAGGACCTCACACATGCTAGCCAAGTGCTCTACCTTGGAGTTGCACCCCCTGGTTTACAAGTAACTTTTATTTTTTTATTTTTGATACCGGGGATCGAACTCAGGACCTTCTGCTTTCAAGGGCAGGTGTGGCACCACTGAGCTACATCCCTGCCCCCACAAGTAACTTTTTTTTAAGTACCAGAGATCGAACTTAGGACCTTGTGCTTGCCAGGCAGGCGGTGGCACCACTGAGCTAACTCCCTGGCCCCCCACGAGTAACGTTTTGAACCTGTTGGAGGGAGCACAGTTAAAGTTCTTTTCAATGTTGGAATTGATGATCTATTGGTGGCTGGTTCTCCTACAAAAACAACTTTCCTCTATTTTTGCACCCAGAAACTGACCTTTAACTCTGTAATGTTGTACTCTTTCCTGCCTTCCTCCCCTTTACAGAGTCTGCTGAAACGCTACCAGCCCCACCGGGTCCCTTCCACCTGCTGTGCGCCAGTCAAGACCAAGCCACTGAGCATGTTGTATGTAGACAACGGCAGGGTGCTGCTGGAGCACCACAAAGACATGATCGTGGAGGAGTGCGGCTGCCTTTGACAGATCCTGGAGGAACTTCGGATTTGCCTGCACCCTAGTTTGGGAAGCTCCCGGGAGACACGGTAGCATCTATCCAGAGAGAAGAACAGAGGGGAGAAGTGGCTCTGTGGACCAGTGCCATGGAGGAAGGGCTGCCCACTCTGCAGTGAAGGGCTCTGCCGGGCCCCCTCGGGAAGAGGGGCAGGAGGAAGCTTGTTGGGCCTGGCGAGCTTCCGCCTCACTGAAGACAGTGGTGAGCAAAAGTGCAACTGCAAGAGTTCTTTACCCGATTTCTTTTTTTACCTTGAAATCCTGTGCAAAGTTGGGGCATGTGTGCATTTATTTTTGAGATGAGGCAAGGCCATCTATAGCTTTTGTGTATTCTCAAAAGTGGTCTATGACATGTGGTCTCCTCCCCAAACTTATGCATCGTTTTATGAGATCAACCCCCCCCCCCCACACCTTTCTTGCTGGCCAGTGGCAATCTGTCCCTGGAGGGGTCTCTGCTAATTGCATAAATAACGAAGTCATTGTCTAGTTCCCCTAGGGCAGCCGGTGCCTTTAACAGGAGAGGCAGGGACTTATCCAAGAGGACTGGCCACACTGGACTACATTTGCTGGGGCCCTCAGATGTCCCCAAGTCAGTCTGCTTGGCAGATACAACCCAAATCTATTAAACATGGTGACAATTGACCTGAGTCTCAATGTGACCTATTGAGGGGCCCGAGGTGCCAGTCCAACAGGGATGAAGGCCTCAGGTGAGTATTCACTGCTTGAGATGCCTCCTTGAGATGGCAAATCCTAATTTTTTCCTGTGAAATAGCTCTTGGGGCTGTGGATGCAGCTCAGCTGTAGGGTGCCTGGCAAGGCCCTAGGTTTAATTCCCAGCATTGTAAAAAACAAGTCTGTTGGCAGTGCTCATGAGCTGCTGGGCATGATGGCCCACACCTGTTATCCCAGCACTCAAGGCTGAGGCAGGAGGATCACCAGGAGTCTAAGACCCCCAGAGCCACATAGTGAGTTCAAGGCCAACCGGAACTACATAGCAAGACCCTGTCTCAAAAACAAAAAACAACAACAAAAAAACACAGAAAAAAAGCCATAGATTGTCTTTAGGCCTTATTCCCAATCTCTCTCCTAAAGCTGGTAAGGCCTGCTAAGCCTAGGCCCTGGCATATCCCTCTGTCTCAACTTTGCTTTTTTTTAAAACTCCGGGTCCTACGACTGGCCTAATTCCAGATCCCACATGGCAGCAAACAGAAAAGAACCCAAGCTTTCCCATAGGAAAATGCTGCCACAAATATGAGCACAAGCTTTCACCTTCTCAATGAGGAGGCTCCAAAGGTGACACTTTTCTCATTGGCTTCATTTTGTTGCGCATTGCCAAAGCAAGGCTGTTTTTGTTTACAGTGAGCAGGCTCTTTTATGGAGAATGTTTTGGTTTTTTGTTTGGTACCAGGGATCGAACTTGGGTCCTTGTGCTTGAGAGGCAGGCGGTGGAACCACTGAGCTAAATCCTCGGCCCTATGGAGAATGTTAATCCATGTGCTATCTTGCTATCTACCTACGTTTCCCAGGAAGCCCACCTACTTGGCTCCCCACCCTCAGAGAATGATCCCAGTTATGGGGAGCCCAGCTGAGCTTAGGGTTATTCAGCTGCAGCCTCCAGTGTGTCAAGTGGTAATCCTGGCCCAAGCAGTAACTAGTTTTGCTAGAGCTGGGCCTGGGCTTCCAAAACCTCTAGGCCTTGGTTTAGCAACAAAGCTGATCCAGCTGCTCATTTCCTGGAGTGGAAATAGACCTGCCCAGAACTAAGCACAGTTCAGGACAACAGGATTCCACATGTGACTGTATCTGAGAACAATAGCACGGGCAGCCTTAGGTCAGCTTGTTGCATTCCCTTTCCTGAAGGAGACCGAAGGGAGCTGAACTCTGATTTTCTGAACCCTAGGAGCATCATCCTGAAATGGCATCCAGGGGTTTTGCTCACCTAGCTTTGATCAAGGCCTTTGCCTTCAGAGCCAAAGATTCAAACCCCACCACCGACCTGAATGAAGTTCTTGGCAGTGAAAAGCTGTTCTTAAATGGCTAGGGCCAGCAAAGTGGAAGGTCAGCCTATTTGCAGCTACAACTTGTGGGAGTGTTTGTAGTTAGCTGCTCTGTTGACAAACACCCCCACTCCCCAGCCCCCGCCCCTGGAAGCAAGGCCTTGCCTCATCTCAAGCACAAAATGTAGGCCCAAAGCAGCAAAACTCCATGTGTTTCTGACCCCTCTGAAATTTGTGCTTCTCTACCAGCAGCAGGGTCATCTAGCTGCTGCCTAGTATGTGGGGAAAGCCAGTCTACCCAACCCTGAGCCATGAGCTGGCTGAAGGTTTTGCAAGTCAGAGGAAGTAACTGCCTCAGCATGGCCCTGCCTGAGCCTGTGGCTTTAATAGAAGTTATTTTAACTTGACCTCGGAGCAAAGATCTACTATTCTGAAGCAATGCCAAGTTAGAAGTTGGTGTGGGGTGGGGGGAGAACCTGGATGCAATTTTGGGGAAGTGGGTAGGCCTGGCAGCAGATAGGAGTGGAGAAAAAGACATTTTAAAAGCAGAGGGCCGGGGATTTAGCTCAGTGGTTCCGGCGCCTGCTGCGCAAGCACAAGGACCCAAGTTCAATCCCCAGTACCAAAAAAAAAAAAATTAAAAAAAAATTAAAGCAGCAGAAGCTGAAGCAGGAGGATCTCAAGTCTGAGCTTAACCTGGGCAATGAGACAGAGAAAAGAGGGTCAACAGGTAGGGCAATGGCTGTGGCCCTCAGCACAATAACCCAGTGTTTATCTCCATCTTGAAATGCCTCCATTTTTATCCCTTTCCTAATTACCTTTGAGGCAGAGTACCAGATATATGAAAGTGGTTTCCAGGTTATTTTGGCTCCATCTGTCCTTAGAGATCCTTTGGTCCCTGTAGCAGCCCCTGCCTGGGTGCTGACTGCACCAGCCACACTGAGCACCCTCTGGCTTTTGGTGCCAACAGGCAGGGCTCCAGTTCTGACAAGAAACACTGATGAGGCTGGGGCTGTAGCGTGTCTGACAAGCTCGAGGTCCTGAGTTCAATCCCCGGTACCAGAAAAAAAAAAAGTTAAGATTTTAACACCATTGACTGAACTCTTCCTGTACCAGGTACTGGACATTCCCTGAGCCTCAAGATAACCTAGAAGAGTTGCTTCTTAGCTCACTTTTGATAAAACTGAGGCTCAGAGACCCAAGAATTCTGTTGGAGAAAACCAGCTCCTAAGCAGTCCAGTTGGCACCGAGGCCACTGACTCCAAAGCCAGTGTCCAACTTCTGCACTGTCCTGACAGGAGGACTCTCGGTGCAGCTTTCTTCTGTGGGCCTCTCTTCACAACCACCAGCACGAAGGGACAGAATCCTTGTTCTCAGTCACTTCCAACACCTCCAACTGCTGGATTCATCAGGACCAGAAATCTGACACACACAACACAGCACAGCCCAAGACAGCAAACACAATGGGTGTCTAACAAGCACCCCAGGGGCCACAAAAACCCCTCCTCAGAGGGGAAAGTGGCACCTGGAGGGCTTCATGGGTGCATCCGGCAGTGCTCACACATCCCTGCTCCTAAGCACCGGCCAGGCCCTTGCTCCTCAGGAAAGGCCCATATCATCTTGCATTTACAGGACCAGACCGACTTATTTATTTTTGGTACTGGGGATAGAACTCGGGACCTTGCACTTGTGAGGCAGGTGCCAGAACCACTGAGCTAAATCCCCAGCCCTAGATCAACTTATTAAGTGTTTGGTTATACACAAAGTGGCCAACTAGCTCTGCCTATCTCTTCCACCAGGCAAGACTCCCCAGATGTGAAATACTCAAGACTTCACTTGGAACTTTAACACAAGGCTGAGGCAGGAGGGATTGTAGCAAGTTCAAAACCAGCCTGGGCTACATAGTGTGTTCAAGGTCAGCCTGTACTACGTACTGAGACCATGTCTCAACACCCTCCCACCCCCCCAATTAACACAATGAGCTGAGGCTGGGGGTGTAGCTTAGTGGTATGGATGCTGAGTTCCATTCCAACACCACAAAACAAAAAGACACCAAGTTGATACTCAAATCCTTTATTGATTTAACTATAACAGCAACCATTGGTGAGAATTTAATCTTTTCTCTAATTTCCAAATACCTGCTGGTTTGAAAAGACAAAAAACAAAAACTGGTCATGAATCACACAGGACTGGATGAGGGGTGAGGGGACAGCACATCAGGGAGACGAGGGCAAGACCGAGCAAAGTGCTGGCCGACTCCACTTTTCCATTCAGCGTGGTTGGAACTGGTAGCACTAGAAAGGGAGGGCTTTTTATTATAAAATTTTTTTTTTTTTGGTACCGGGGATCGAACCTCGGGTCCTTGCGCTTGTGCTGCAGGTGACGAAACCACTGAGCTAAATCCCCGGCCTTATAAAGTATTTTAAAAAGATGCTTAAAATGGACACATGTATGTACTCAGGCTCTTCAAGACACCTGTTTAAGGTGTACCCTGGGGCTTCAAGGGCCTCCTCCCCCAGGTGGACAGAGATGGGTTCATCTGCATGTGACCTGAAGGCACTGCCCAGGGCCTTGTGACTCGTTACAGCCACCAGGAGGGAGCAGGAGGCTCCCCAACACCCCCTCCCCTGCATTCCAGTGACAGTGCCCCTTGGGCTGGGTTTGGGTTTTTGCTCTTTAAAGAGTAAGATGGAGAGGAAAGGGGTACACTGTGTCAAGAATGGATATCCTGTGCTGGACTCATGGAATTGTTTGAAATGTCCAAGAATTTTGGTTTTAAGCACTGGCAGGAGCTCCCTTTAGAAACACCAACATGGCCAAGTGAGTATCAAGCACATCACCTCTGCCCTGTGGCACAGTGAGCATTTAAATACCCTGGCAAGCATTTCAGCTCAGTACACTTCCGAATGGGCATCCATGACATCTGGTACAGTCTGCCAGGGCTGCAGGCAGAGGTTAACAAGCTGACTCAAGACTTCAAAACCTAAGTTTTGCCAAAAAAGTATCAACTTCTAGGGCCCGCCTAGAGAAGAGTTTAAATTCCAGAGGGTGGGAAAGGTGTCCTGAAATGGTTAATTGGAAAAATGAGTATCTATCAATCACCCTTTTAGTCTTCAGTTAGAAACTGCTACGAACGAGCCTCAAAGAAACTCTGCACTAACATGGCAAACCATTCCTGGAACAGAAAGTGCACCTGGAGAGCAAGCATTCTGCGGATTGGCGACAGACCTACATCCGGATCTGATTTCAAGGTCTGGGGATATAGTGCAGTGGTGCAGCACCTGCTTAGCAAACCTGAAGCCCTGAGTTCTATTAAAAAAAAAAAAAATCTGATTTCATCCTTTACCAAAAGCTGAGAGGAAAGCAACTGTTCGGTGACTATACCCTCCTCGAAGTTCAGATAGAAGTTGCCCTCACAAAAGTTTTACAACAAATTATACCCTCTCCCAGATATTAAGGATGGGTAAGTGATTGGGTTTCGCATGTTAATAAATAGCTACTCATGTGCATGTAGTCCAGAAAACATACTGAGAAGAGACAGTACTGAATTAGACAGCAGGGCCTCCTCCCTAGAGGGGAATGCAAAAGGCTTCTGGCCCTGGCTTCAAGCACTTGGTACTAGAGATGGGGAGGGGGGAGACTGTGCCCCTGGGACACTGCTGCCAACATGCTGAGCCCTTATACCAGCTGCCTCCACTCACAGCAGGCACTGTACACTGGCTGTGGTGTGAATTGGTATGACCCATGGGCCTTGCTGCATTCTAATAAGACACATAGACTTCCACGTCTGAATTGGGAAGGAACTAGGTCTGAGCGACCCAAAGAGCCAATAACCCCAATGACAATTAAAAACAGCAATAATATAACAGACCACTGATTTTTAACTCCATCTCAAGTCAGGAGGAAAAGCAAAGTTCACTTTACCGATGAGGGCTATAGTTCTGAAGGAGCACCTCTCTTTCTGACTGCCTCAGCAGCAATGTTTTGTATTCAAGTGGATGCTAAAGCAAGCGTGGCTACAGGGAAGAAAATACTAGGAGGGGGCAGAGGGTAAAATCAAACAAGAATTGCCATCTTTAAGATACCTGAAATCGATCAAGACTGTGTGGAAATGAGTGCCAGAAATAGCAGGCATCCACTAAGAATGTGTTGAGCTAAGAAGCAGCCTCTAAATTTCTCCTGAGGTGAAAACCAGATTGGTTCTCTTTAAGAAAGCACTTCCATCAAGAACCCCAGGGCAAGTTGGGAATGCAGAGTTCCCCGGCACCCTGAACATAACAGGCAATCAACAGACAGACATTTATAATCGTGAGGTGTTCCCTAGTCTGGAGAACCTGATCAAGTCTGTAAGCTGGTGGAGCTGAGAGCAGGTGCTCAACACTGACTCAGATGGGGACCTGGTTTCCTGATGCTACCAACTATTTCACCTGAAATCTGAACTGCTTTCTGTACTCAATACAGCTCAATAACCTCACTCCTATGTCCTCTTTGTCCTCCTTCAATTAACACTGCCCCAGTGGCTCAGATGGAAGGCCCCAGTTCCCTTTCTCAGCCAATTACTGGTCAAAGGAGAATAATAGTATAAATGAGTCCTGGAAACAACCAGTCTGTGCCTTGCAAACATCCCTGAGCTGCTGGTAATCAGGCAGATGGACAGCTACTATAGCTCTCCAGAAAACTGGTTTCTTGTCTCTCCAGACTCTGGTAGCTTTGGGGAAAGGGGGAAAGTGTCTCCTATCTCAGTTTGATGATACACATCTTGGGCAATTGGTTTTAACAGCAATTTCTTTTAGCTTATCATCGAATCTATCCTTTTGACTTGTTTTCATCTTCTTTGGGGAGTATGGTGGTTTTAAGGCACTGTGACTTTCTCCTTGTCTGCCTCCTTGGGGGTCAGTCACTCAAGGGGAAGCCAATGATCATGATGTGAGGACACGTGTTACCAGAGGTGAGAACTACACGGGGAGAAACTGAGGCACCCTGCCAAGAGACACCGAAGGAGTTTGGAAGTAGATTCTCCAGCTCCAGATGACAGTAGCCTCTGCCCTCATCTTGAAATTTCATGAAACCCCATTCGAGAATCATCTTCCAAACTATCCTTCAGAAACTGACAGATATCGTTTGTTATTTTAAGATATTAAATTTGGAGATAATTTGTTACACAGCAATAGATAAGTAATACAGACAGAAGGAAAATCCTCTGGCTTGGAACCCCAATCCCTAAAAGCCAGCTTTTCTACTCTTGTACTCTTAATGAGACATATTTGAACAGAACATGAGCTGAGGAACTCCATGAACTACACAGTAAACAAGGCAGAGCCAGGACAGTGCAGATCTCCTGCTACAATCGGGAGGGGTAGTTTCTCATGAAGACTGATTATCCCCAGATGTCCAGAAATGTAGCTGCTTCATAAAAACATAATGGTCACTAACATTTTGTGAACTGTCTCACTCAGATGATAACCTCAGAAGGAGGTATTCCCTTCCTAAGAAAAAGCCAGGATACGTTATTCATGAAAGGCCTCACCTGTGAGGTTCTCTCTGAACACTGCAAGGTAAACCACCTGCCACTCTGGCTTGCTCTGAAAACCATTCTATGAGGCATGATGTAAAGATGTTACCTGTTGGAAGCTTATCTCTGTTGTGCAACTGTGTGTTTTTACAATGCTGGTTTACTGAGGACAAGGTTATGCTGGCAGTGGTGGCCTCCAGGAAAGAACTGCAGCAAGCAGTAAGGAAATCATGGCAGAGAAGGACCCGGGTCTGGACAGCTTGTGCATTATGCAGTCAACACTCCCAGGAAATACTAAAAACACGGCCTGTGATCAGAGATGGTGAGAGAGGGGGAAATGGTACCTTGCTACTACTCAAACTAACCATTGTGGGTCAGCGAGGAAGCCAAATTTTTACAGACAGCAAACAACACACATCAAGAAGAGTACAGTATACTCTGCCACTCACTGACAGCTTGCCAGCTGCTAGCTGGAGTCAGATTCCACAGGATGCCACTGCTGGTATATGACGAACAAGAAGCTTCACTCCCCAGGAACCAAACTCCAGGGTACAAAGGTCTGAGCAAGCGTCTTAGGTAAATGACAGCACAACTTGTGTTTTTCCAAGACTATGTAAAGCAAAATTTGAAGTTTAATTAAAATAAGAAGAGGAATACATTAAAATATTTTCTGATTACTGATTGTGAGACTCAAAGCACCCCCAAAACACTGGAGATCCAGCTTATTCTTGAGAGACATCAACCGTCATAAGAGGTTTTCACTCTGAACTATTCACATTTTGTAGCAAAAGACCAAACAAATTTCTGCAAACATCTCTCTTTCTAAATTATCTTTGCAAATAGGGTCTTCTCATAATTCCAAAGAAAAACAGCTTGCTTTCTTATTTCTTAGCCAATGGGCCTGTTACTCTCACCCTGGAATCTCGTAAGAATCCAACCAGAAATTCCCAGGACACCAGTGGCTACTCCACTTGTCTTCCCCCAGGGGACAGTGTCTGTCTTCCTACAGGGGAGCTGCTCCTGAAGCCACCCTGCCAGTCAGCAGTACCAGGAGAGTGGGGTGGGGAGAAGGGGGAACGGAAGAACAAAAGGATAAGAATGAGGCTTCCCTGAACAACCCACAGCAAGGCAGAATGGTCCAGTTTTACCAACTACCCACTACAAACTCTAAAAACGCACACTCAAAACTTTCGGGGAAGGAAAGAGCTGAGAAGAAATTGGGGAGGGACACAAAGAACAATGACATCAAACGGCAGACTCGACCATGGAAATTTCTTACCTTCCCAACACTGGAAGATGTTAAGTTAAAAAGTTGCTGTTCAAAACTGTATCGAAAACATATCTAAAAATAGGTCTGTAGTCATCTTAAAAATAAAATGTCACTCTTCAGATAAGTGACAGATAGCAGATACCAACACTTGAGGTATCTTTGCTGTAGATTTGAAAAATGGCCTGGGAGAGGAAAGGGAAGGCAAAGAAGGGAGGGGGAGGGAAGAAAGGAAGGGGAGGTTTCAGAGTACAATGGGCATGGCAAGAAAGCTGGGAGGAACACAATTTTTAAATCCATGCTTATCTATCCCAGTAGCCAAACAAAGCAGACCCAAACACGGAAAAAAAAAATAGTTCTTTTCTAAGAACATTTCTAAAAGTTAACTTTAAATTCAAAATATAAGAAACTGCAAGCCAAGACAACAAATATCACAATGTTCAATGGATTTTAAAATTGACTGGGACTGGGTACTCAAGTTGCTCGACAGCCTTTTAGGTATTATCTGGCAGAACCTAGGACCAGGCCTTACCCAGCAAATGGAAGGCAAAGTGCCGCTGTTACTTCATATGGACCCACTCTGGGAGCAGACAAAATCGCCTGGGTAGCTCCCAGAAGGAGAGGACTCTGCAGCAACAAGCTGCAGGCAGAGAGGAAGGCAAAAGAACAAAGAACAGCTGGTTACTGAGGGCTCCCTCCTGTTGCAGTTTAAAAATATCTGCACAAATGTACAGAGTAAAGGAATGGGATGAGAAACTACAATACCAAAGACAGAAGACATTCCTCCCAAGGGAAAGAGCGGATGCAGATTTCCAAACAGTGTCACTGAGCAAAGCTACCAGTCGCATAAATTATGCTGCTCTGTCCCTAAGGACAAACACCTCAAGGTAAAAGGGAAAGCAGCTTTCTTCATGTTTATCATTTCCCCCTGCTGCTTTTAAAGACCCTGAACCCAGCACTGAACCATGGGTGGTATACAAGGTGGAGAGACAAGAATATGAATGATGAACCTGCCAAACCTCTGTATCCCTTCCCCAGACATGCCAGGCAGGCAGCTGCTGGTAGTGATTTAGATTTGAGATAAATTTAAGGGGGGACAGGGAGATTCTCAATAGAGACAGGACCAGAGAAGCCAGTTTAACTGTTTTCCTCAACAGACAGCTTAGCTCTATAGAAACACCCCTAGGGCCTTCAAGCTAATCTGTCCAGCTGGGCAGAGGACAGGAAACTGGAAAAAAACCAGCCAGATACAGCTCATCTTCCTAGCATTTGGCACCCGAGGAAGAGGGGAGGTGGGGATGGCACTGGGGATTGCTGGTTCTGCCTTGGTCTTCCCACTGTCGGTCCTGTCAGCCACATCAGGTCCACACGAGTATCTGCGTTGCTGCTTTTCTCCCATTCTTGCAGGAGGTCAGATGTCCATCTCAAACTGAGAATCATCCCCTGCTTAGCAAAAAGAAAATGAGGTTTAGCACAAAAAGGAAAAGCAAAACAGTTTAAGTGTCATTCCTTATATAGAATGGTAATGTCTCTTTTGCTCTCTGCTGCCTTAAAACATGGTTTGGCTTTTGCCGATCTTTTTAATCTAAAAAATAATGTCAGCCACATCACCTGCAGGGAAGTGCCCGTGGGAAAAGGACACAGGGGAATATCCCCAGAGCTCCAGAGCCTCTGTCCCCAGGCTGACCACACAGCAGCAGCTCTGAGCTGCCACCTGCCAGGTAAGCACACTGCTCTGGAGGCTTGGACTCAGGGCCTTCTCTGAACCCACACTCTCATACACTGAACTGGTCCCAGCTTCATGAGAGGATAAGGCAGGAGGACAGCAAGTTAAAGGCCAGCCTGGGCATCTTAGCAAAACCCTATCTCAAAATAAAATTTTTAAAAAGGGTTGAGGAAAAAAATAGTTTGGGGATCTAGCTCAGTGCTGGAGTGCTTGCCTGGCACCCATAAGGCCCTGGGTCCAAGCCCCAGTACTGCAAAGACCCAAATGAAACAACCAAACCTCGGAATTGGAGAAAGCAGAATGTTGGCTCATGCCTAGGGATCACCAAGAGCAATACTGAGGTATATTCAAGAGTAGGCATTTCCGCACCAGCATTCTACTTCCTCAGACATAAAGAAGCCTCACCAGTAATAAAACTATGTGTCTGTGTAAGAAATGTTTATGTAAATATTACAGGCACTTCTGGAAAATGGGGGAAACAAACCATACTGCTAAGCTCATACCACAACAAGGACAGACAGTCTTGTGAGAAAACATGCCTATTTTCTGAGGGAAATGGAACTGTGAGCTGTGAGATTCAGTTTTCTGTGGCAGATGTGCGCGGTTATCCCTAGTACAATAAAGGCTGGGCAGTCCTTTGGGTGTAGTTCTGAGAGTCCCCACTGGAACTTACCACTCCCTGAGTTTTGGACTCTACTTCTACCAACCACATTTGATTATGATTTAGGACTCTGGGCACCTAAAGCATTTCAATAAACTTTTGGGGAAGAAAGGAAAAACCTTAGAGACATAAAACTAAATATTAGTTGTATGCAATGCATCAATATTTTTCCAACATACAGCAAATTCCCGGAGCCATCCCTCTGTCCCCAGTACCAGCACCACCTTACCAACTGCATGCTTCCTGTCATGATTGTTCAAGTTGTTCAAATTGTTTACTTCTACTTTGGAGTCTTCAATTAAGGTGCCAGGGCTAGTAACTCCCGGGATATTGGGCAGATGGCAGGGTGGGGTCTGAGCCATCGGAGAATTGCGACGATCCAACAGAAATTTTCTATCATAAATGATTCGAGTTCCTAGAAGACAGGGTGAAAAAGAGTTTAAAATAAAGTAAGGGGCTACTGACACATAATACTACCCAGAAATTTAGTTTAAACTCCATCTAATCCTAACCCTTAAAGTTTTTACAATTCAAGTCAATGTGAGGAACTCCAACCTCCTGCTCTTTCTTCTTCTTCTGCTGGGCAACTCCTGCTCCTTTTTCTTTTTCTTTTCTTTTTTTTTTTTGTACCAGGGATTGAACTCAGGTCCTTGTGATTTCGAGGCAGGTGGCAGAACCACTGAGATAAATTCCCGGCCCTCCTGCTCCTTTTTCAATACTCAGCTCCAACATCATTTCCTCTACAAAGCCACCCTCCCTCCCCTTTTTTTAACCATTCTCTCTCCCCATCTCACTCAGTATGTTTCACCTAGTATCCTGTAGACATTCAGCCCATTATGCCAGGGCTATGTCTTATTTATATCTCACCTGTGTCCTAACATTAAAATCTTCAAAAACATTTTTTAGATGGAAGGAATAAACGTGTATGAAAACATAGCCACCTTTAGGTTAAAGGCTTTCCAGAGAAGCACTGAGACTGAAATCCTTGCCAGACAGTTATGGTAGAATTCTCTATTCTACCAAACAGTCTGCTTCTCAGTAAAAGTACTGGAATGTTTTACAAACAATAACCTGGAGGGCCAGGGATTTAGCTCAGCAGCACAACACCTGCCTGGCAAGCACAAGGTCCTGAGTTTGAGCCCCCGTACAAAAACAAACAAACAAACAATAACCTGATAGTTATAAAAACCTGCTGTGTATAAGTGGCCAACAGGTACATAAAAGTACTCAACATCACTAATCATCAGGGGAATGAAAATCAAAACCACAGCGAGGTACCACCACACATCTGCTAGGATGGCTGTCATCAAAGGTGGTATAGTCCTGCAATCTCAGAACTTTGGAGGCAGAGTTAGGAGGATCACTGGGAGTTCAAGGCTAGCCTGGGTTACATTATGAGTTCGAGGCCAGCCTGAACTACATAGTGAGACCCTGTCTCAAAAAGCCAAAACCCACAAGAGAGTCAGGTGGTGTATGTGTTGGGGGAGAGGGGAAAGACCTGTAATCCCAGCTATTCAGGAGGCCACTGAAGGAGAATTCCAAGTTCCAGGCCAGTCTGGACAATTTAGACATCTTGTCTCAAAATAAAAAGTAAAAAGAACCCGGGAATGGTGGTACATGCCTGTAATCCTAGAACTCTGGAGGCTAAGGCAAAAGAATCACAAGTTAGAGCCAAGCCCAGGTAACTTAGTGAGACCCTGTCTCAAAATAAAAAGGGCTGGGTGCGTAGCTCAGTGTGAAGGCCCTGGGTTCAATCCTCAGTACTGCAAAAAATAAAACATCAAAAGGGCTGGAAATGCACATCAGTGTGAGGCACTGGGCTCAATTTTCAGTATCACAAAAACAGAATGACTCACAAGACAAATGTCGGCCAAGATACTGAAAAGGTGTATCACTGGTAGGAAAGTAAACAGTACAGCCATCATGGAAAAGAATATGGAGGTTCCTCAAAAATTTTAAAAATAGGGCCAGGGATTTAGCTCAGTGGTTTCACTGCCTGCTGTGCAAGTGCAAGGACCCGAGTTCAATCCCTGGTACCAAAAAAACCCAAAAAATTTAAAAAATAGCAAAGCCCTGGGCCAGGGATTTAGCTCAGTGGTTCCACCACCTGTCTTGCAAGCGCAAGGTCCTGAGTTTGATCCTTGGTTTAAAAAAAAAAAAAAAAAATGGTGCTGGAAAACATTTTATTTCCAATACAGAAGATTGAGTCTAGTCCCATATATCTCACCATGTACTAAACAAGAATCAATATGGATCAAAGATCTAAATGTTAAAAAAAAAAAAAGATCTAAATGTTAAAACAAACAATCTGCTGGAAGATAAAATAGGCACAACTCTTGAAGACAAGGACCAATGGCGCAAGAAATAATACTGAGTAACAATAAATGGGATCATATCAAATTTAAAAAACTTCTACACAGCAAAGGAAACAACCAACAAAAGTGAACAGACAATCTACATAATGGGAAAAAAATTTTGCCAACTATTCCATGGACAGAGGGTTGACATCAAGAATACATGAAGAGGGGGCCGGGAATTTAGCTCAGTGGCTTCGCTGCCTGCTACGCAAGCACAAGGACCCAAGTTCGATCCCTGGTACCAAAAAAAAACAAAAACCAAAACAAGAGTAAAGAACTAAAAAAAAAATTAGATCCATCACCCCAAAATAAAAGACCCAATCAAAAAACGAGTAACTAAAATGAAGACACTTCTCAGAAGTGGTCAATAAATACCTGAAAAAATGCTCATCAATCATTGCTGGCCGTCAGAGAAATACAAATTAAGACTACACTGAGATACTATCTTACTCCAAAAAGAATGGCTATCATCAAACAATCTAATGATGGGCCGGGAATTTGGCTGAGTGGCACCACGCCTGCCTCGAAAGCGCAAGATCCTGAGTTTGGATACCCGGTACCACACACATACACACAAAAATCTAATAACAAATGCTGATAAAGATGTGGGGAAAAGGGAACTTTATTTACTACACTGTTGGTGGGGATGTAAACTAGTACAACCATTATGGAAATCAGTGTGGGAACACCTCAAAAATCTAAAAGTACAAATTCCATTTGACCCAGCTATTCCCTTCCTATCTTCCCTGAAGAGTTAAAAATCAGCATATTACAGGGATAAATGCATACCATATTTATAGCAGCGTAATTTAGAATTGGTAGACACTGGAAACAGCACATAAGGCCATCAACAGATGAACAGAAAAGGAAAATGTGTTTTTTATACACAATGCAATACTATGTTACAATAAAAATGAGGCGGGCCAGGGATTTAGCTCAGTGGTTCCACTGCCTGCGCTGCCTGCGCTGCCTGCCTCGAAAGCGCAAGGTCCCGAGTTTGATCCCCAGTACCAAGAATAAATAAATAAATAAATAAATGAGGCATTCATAGGTAAATGGATGCAGAACAAGGGAGGAAAGAGGGAGAAAGGAAGGATAGGAAAAGAAAAAAAGTGAAAATAGGAAAAAATGGAAACAAAGCTTTTGTACATGGGGGGGTGGCATAGGTAAATGGATGCAACTTGAGAACGCAAGATTAAGTGAAATAAATCAGAGGCACAAGCTGAAATATTCCATAGTTTCTCTTACATGGCTTGTGTTTAGATGTCCCCCCAAAGCCTCATGAGATCCTAGGTGGGGCTTTTTCAGAGGTGGCTGGATCTAGAGTGTGTGATGCTGGAATTGATTCATGCTAGAACCTGGGCTCAAAGGCACTAGGATTAAGGGTGTGAGTGCTGCCTGCCCTAAGTAGCCTGGATAAGATAAAAGGGACAGAAAGTTGATGATAAGGTCCCTGGTTGCTTTGCTATCTTCTGTCTGGCCTGAACTGTTCTCTGCCATGACAGGCTACCTTGGAGCCAGTGGATTATGGACTGAAACAGCTACAAACTTTGAGCTAAATAAACCTTTCCTCCCTTAACTTGTGTGTTTTGGGTATTTTGTCTCAGTAATAAGAAAAGTGACAAAGACAATATACATACATACATACACACGTATACATATATATATATATATACACACACACATATGAGAGAGAGAGCAAGAGCCCGTGAGCAAAATAGGAGATAAATAGGTTGTAGGGAGAACTTCAAATACTTCCCCAAATTACATATTCCATTGTTTTAGAAATATTTCAATATATATGCTAATTTGTTTTATTTATAGTAATAGTTTGTGCCGAAAGTTTGTGTTATTATATTTCTTTTTGTAAGAATCTTCTGGTTTGTCTTCTTTTTTTTTTGGTACCTTGTGCTTACTGAGCTAAATCCCCAGCCCTGGTTTATGTCTTTCACTGAGTAACTACTTGGAAGATAAACTGTAATAACTACTGTTATCCTCTTTTTTTTTTTTTTTTTGGTACCGGGGATTGAACTCGGGTCCTTGCGCTTGCAAAGTAGGCAGCAGAACCACTGAGCTAAATCCCCAGCCCTTACTGTTATTCTCTTATTATTTAGATATAACAATTTGTTTTATTTTTGAAAAAAGAAAAAAAAGTTTTCAGTTATCAGATGACTAAGTATGGCATGGTAACTATAATTAACAATACTGTATTGAATGCTTGAAGTTTGTTGAGTAGATCTTTAATGTTCTCACCAGACACAAAAACTGTAATTATAGGAGATGACAGATGTGTTAACAAACTCGACTGTGATAATTGTTTCACTATACATACATACATACATACATACATAAATTATCAAGTTGTAGGGTCGAGGATTTAGCTCAGTGGTGCTGCCACTTGCCTCACAAGTGCAAGGTCCTGAGTTCGATCCCTGGTACCAACAAAACAAAATCAAGGGCTGGGGATTTAGCTCAGTGGTTCTGCCACCTGCCTTGCAAGCATAAGGTCCTGAGTTCAATCCCCGGTACCAAAAAAAAAAAAAAGGCAAAACAAAAACAAAAATCAAGTTGTATACCTTAAATTTATACAATTTTATTTGATAATCATACCTCAATAAAACTGGGAGAGGGTGAGACACCCACTATCCATTCTTTTTGTCCCTGATCAAGTTACTAGTGGGTATAAGTAACTTATAAAACTATGCAACAATTACTGATGCCTGATGTGGGTCAAGTGTAGTGGATGGGTGGAGCCTTGGCCCTGATTCTAAGACTATGCCTGGTTCAGCAAGAAAGAAAGAGATGGGTTAGTGATGCTGGCCAAAGGCGGGGACAGTAGAAAGGGAAGTAGCCCAGCATAACTGCCAACCCAGCCTAAATTAACAAAGAAATGGTGGGAACACAATGGGTTTAGGTCCGAGGAAAACCTGTCAACATGAAATTATGTACAAAGCTACTCAGTTTAAAGAAGGAGAATCTACATATTACTTTCGGTCAGTGGTTTTTAATCCTCTAATTGGGGTGAGCGATGGAAACGCCTGTTGTACTAAAATAAGGA